TCCGTCTCTCTCTCTCTCTCTCTCTCTCTCTCTCTCTCTCTCTCTCTCTCTCTCTCTCTCTCTCCCTCCCCCCCCCTTTCTCTCACAACAAACGACTCGATTACGTATATTATTCCGACGGGAAAGCACCGATGGCCTCGTTAGCGAAACCGTGATCATAGGACCATGCGTTTGCCGTTGTATCCGCGCAATTCTCGCGACTGCGCCTCGTATTCATGTAACAGAAGCTCCACAGAGTATCACTTTAGTAAGACAAGCTATTATTATTCTTCCTCGGCCGATGGATTCTCTGATCAAATTTAATATTTAGTAGTTTTTGGCTTGTTCTTATAATATACGAATTTCGATTCTTAACAGAAAGCTGATAAGAAATTGATTACAAATTGATTTAAATCCCCGATTTTAAATGAACCGATTAATGCATTTGTTCCACTTGTATAATGCGCATAAATTTATTTGTAAATTTGACCCGTGCACCTCAAATAGGTGGAAATCGATTTAAATTTATTTAAATCTTTTTAACGAATTCATACTGTTCATGTTCTATAGGTATCGCTCATCAACCTACATCCGTCTAGTATCGTTCGAAATCGTGGATCTATTTTGAAGTTCAGCAAAAAGATCGGCGGTTTTACTTAGTCGAGGCACGTGCCTTCGGACAAAAACCCATTGTTCACTTTCTCATTGTAACCTTTGGTAATAGTTTTAGCCTCCTGTCTTAGCCATTCAATCTTTCTCCCCCGGACCACGATACAACCGCGACTTATGTATGGGTGGTATGCTTTAAAGCATTGAAGCGAATAATCCGGAACAATTCGTGGTTTTAATTTTACTCCTATTAACTGCCACCTATTAACTGCCCTCCAGCTTTCATTTCTTTGAATCGGCGGATTCTGAGTTTCATAAAGCATTATCTACTCATGACACGCGACGCAATATACTTAATTGTATATTTAATCATCATTCTATTATATATACCGTCTCGTGCGTGGGATTGTCCTGATAAAGGATTCGCGTTCTCGCTCGTCCTTCGCTAATTAGAATTTATATAATATTTGTGTGAGACCGTGAGAGAAAGAGAGAGGGAGGATTAGCTCGACGTCGTGACTAACAAGATTAAAAATGTCCGCCAGAACGTCAGAAACGTTCGACTCTCGACGAAGATTTTCGCCGCTCCCGACTTGGTCGATTTTGCGACTTTATCGGCGCAAAGTTGCGGGGAAATTTATCGCGAACACACCGTTGTCTCTCTCTCTCTCTCTCTCTCTTTCTTTCTCGCGATAAGTGATAACGCGGCGCTCGATGGCTCGGATAGAATTCAGTGTTACTCGTTATCTGACCGTAACCGGAGTGATACTGAGTAGAACACGGCAGCCAGTACCCAGACAGTATGTTGGACAACGAGCAGCGAATCTCGATCGGGTTCCGGTACTCGAATTGCTTCCCGTGTAAGTTCGCACTCGACACTCCGTCGATCTCGATGTAATTCTCCCTCGGGAATGGAAACGGTAGCGACCGACGTCGATCGATGTCTCGTCGGCGAATCAAACATGCAACAGTCTTAAATCATCGATCGCTTTGATACTAGGAAACATGATTTCGCAGCGTCTTCCTCCGGATATTTCTGGACTTGCCTTCGAGGGCTTTGCTATTAATTATTAACGTGACTCTACTCAGATCATTTTTGCATCTCTCATCTATCGTGTGTTATCCGTATCTATTAATTTTGCTACGGTTTTTTTTTAGCTTAACCTCCCCCCCCCCCCCCTCCCACTACCCGATGTGTAACGGAAAGCGACACGGGAAATTATTATTTAATCGGACGACAGGAACTCTAGATTCGTTAGACACGTACAGACACTTACAGACATTCGAAATTGTATTTGAAAGCTGAAGCGAGGGAATGTCACGTTTTGTCAGTAAAGCGAGCGTGAATCTTTTTTGTTTCTGTTACAGTTTTTCCGAACGTGCCGCCCGCCCCCGGGATGCCGTGCCAGGGAGAAGACAGTGAGTGTGTTTACTGTTCATTGAAAATGTCTCAGTCGCCGCCGAGTCGCACAGCTCCTTGCTTGCGATATATACACGTATATAGCCAATATGCGTACTAGCCAGCGAGTTCTAATTAACCATCCGGTGGAAAGAAATGATTAGCGCGCGATAATAGACAGACACACGATGCGTAACTTCGTTATGTACGGAAACAAGAAAGCCGTAGAGGAAGCATCCATATCTCGTTCTCGACACCCCGTTCTCCACCAAAACTTCCTTCGATACATTTTTTAATCACAATCTTCATGACATCAACGTTTGTGTTATATCAACTCGAAGCCCTGAGGTTTCTAGCTCTATGTTGCAATTTTATAAAAAAATTGGATTTACAAATCAATCATTTCAACAAATTATAATTTTGTTTTGCACGACACATTTGATAAAATAGACCCATGAGATATTTTTGGAGATTAACAAATAATTATAAATTTCGATTGATTGTTACAAGATCTAATTTATAAAAATATAGAAACACATAAAAATCAAGTTGATTTTATTTCTTTGTAAAATATTTAAAAAATTTCGCAAATTACTATTATGGAAATTATTATTATTTCGCGTGGCTGCATAGATCAGAAACTTTAAAATACTTTCGCTCCTTACGATGTACTGATACACAATAATCACAGGATCATTTTCGCCAACTTCGATTAATTTAATCGGCCAATTATTCTATTGGAATTGACCAATTGCAATAAAGTTTACAAATTTAACAACAAATACGATTGGTGAAAGTGATCCTTATTTGTCAAACTTTTCATCAATGTTACGATGACTTAAGAAATGAATTCTGAAAACACATCAGAAATGAAAAAAAAAACTCTTGTTTTGAAGCATGTGGTTTTACAAACAAATCACTCTCAGTTTTCCTTATGTCGTTGGCGAAGCCGATGCTATTACAATAATATATAGTACCATATATAATATGGTACATATATAGTACAATATATTCGGCCATTATGGTACTCGTGGATAAAGCATGGATCAATTCCGAGTCGTAACTCGTCTCCGAATCCTTTTGTTTGGTAGCTTATAAAAAATAGAATAAGTTTATTCTCATTCCGGTGCGTGTTTTCATCGTTGGCGCTGCATGAGACATACATTTCGCACGAAATGTTGTTTCCCGTTCGCATCGATTCGCTTCGTTCGTTGCCGATGAAGCCGCACGCCGTTCGATTACGCGATCGGTCGCGACCGGGCAGAAGGAGAGAAATGATGGTGGTGTAAAATCAATTTGCGAAGTTACTCAACGGTATTCGATGGTGAAACTTTATTAACAAAATAAAATCTCTGTACAGACAGGCCGGAATCGAAAACTTTATGTGGATGTCCACTGATATTTGTCTTGCGAGGTATTATGTAAGCGTCTTCATAAATCGCAGAGAAAATATTTATCTTTAATATTTAAAGATATATTTATAGAAACCAGTGGATTAAAAATTTTATTGTTTTTTTTGTCAATAGATCAGTAAAAATGATTACTATACTAAAGATTAATATCAATAATTCAATTAATAGTTAGATGATTAAAACGATTGTACTTGCGTTGAAGATTGCGGTATAATGATGTTTCTTCGTCGTTCAGCACGGGTGGATCGCGGAATTCAATCGTGGCGAATTGATCGATCAGTTGTTGCTCTCCATCATTTATGACATTTATGTTATTTCATTTTCCGAAGGAAGCATCTACAGACGTGGCGCTCGTAGATGGAGGAAGCTGTACCGAGTGAATGGCCATATTTTTCAGGCGAAACGATTCAATCGGGTAAGCATCATTCCATTTAATTATCATTGCAGTCTTTACTTTGTTCATCACCCCCCCCCCCCGATTCTTCCCCACCTCGCGTCCTCTTTTTTCATACGCAATCTTTATGAAGGTAGATCTGTCGCAGGTGCGACGCGGCCGACGAAACCGACGGAAACGACGGTTCTATGCAGAGTTCTCTGTGAGCACTGCCAACGTTCTAAAAACTTGCTGGCTAGTGACTTCGTCGTCGACGAAGGGAACAGAAGGGAGCATTGTTCTCTCTCTATTTCTTTTTCTCTCTTTCTATATTGCTAGAAGTGCCAAGTTTTTGTCCTTACGAGCCCTCTGGGCTCACGTACGAATCCTCTCAATCTTGTTTCGCGCGTAATCCTCCCGTTTTGTTCATCCTCTTTCCTCCTCCCGTACTTTACTTTATTGGAGCTTTTGGAAGAGTATTTGTTACGTCTAAGACCGGATACTTAAACTTAATTATCATTTGTCTCGACTCAGACTTCGGAATGTTTTAAAGTCGGAGCGTGCGTTATTTCTACGTTTCTCTCTAAAGTTCAAACGTGATTTCCACCTCGCGAGATGCCGCGATACAATTTTAACACGGTAGAAAATCCAGGGTGTAATATAATATAATATCCTTCCTCGGTTTGATTCGCAGAGGGCCTTCTGCGCGTTCTGCCAGGACCGGATCTGGGGTCTCGGGCGGCAGGGGTTCAAGTGCATCCAATGCAAACTGCTCGTGCACAAAAAATGCCACAAGGTAGTACGCAAACCATGCTTGAGCCTGCAGCAGCAGCAGCAACAGCAGCAGCAGCTGCAGGGCGCGGAGTCACAGACGATCGACAGAAATGGCGACCAACAGCTTGATCCGTATCAATGTGGCCCAGCCACTCATCTCGAGGATGAGATCACGGAATCGCCGATCATCGAGGAGCATTCGCGCGATCGTAAGATTATTCAATATTTATATATGAGCATAAAAAATGATAAATTACAATTTTCTGCAAAGATATTACTATAAAACTAATATTAATCGTAAGAACAGTTATTTTATATTATTTTTGTGTTATTGTGATATTTTTGTGATATGTTTTATATATTCTCTCTTTAATTTCTTTTTCTATTTGTATACTTTATATTTGATCAAAAAATATCTTTTTTTTGTTCACATATTTTTTAATATTATTAATATACTTTCTTATACTTACTATTTTGCAGGAATCGGAAGTGAAGAAGGGGAAGAATTGCCATTGGATACGTTAAACGAGGGTGATACTTCGAACGACATGCAACGACAGTACTCGTTGAATGACTTTGAGCTGATTAGGGTGATCGGCCGTGGTTCCTATGCAAAGGTCTTGATGGTGGAGTTGAAACGTACCAAGAGGATCTATGCTATGAAGGTGATCAAGAAATCTCTGGTGACAGATGATGAAGACATCGATTGGGTACAGACTGAGAAACATGTGTTCGAGACGGCCTCAAATCATCCCTTTTTGGTGGGCCTGCACTCCTGCTTTCAGACTCCCTCGCGTCTGTTTTTCGTGATTGAATTCGTGCGTGGTGGCGATCTCATGTTCCACATGCAAAGACAACGCCGTCTTCCTGAGGATCACGCGCGATTTTACGTAGCTGAGATCAGCCTGGCATTAAATTTCCTACATGAGAAAGGTAAAAAAATTTTCTCTTATTCTGAAGTTGATAGAAGATCGAACATGCAATTGAATTTAATGATTGTTTGCTTTTAGGTATTATATACAGAGATTTGAAATTGGATAATGTACTTCTCGATCACGAAGGACACGTTAAGCTTACGGATTACGGAATGTGCAAGGAGGGCATCCGGGAGGGCGACAACACCGGCACTTTCTGCGGTACTCCCAATTACATTGCTCCTGAAATCCTACGTGGCGAAGAATACAGTTTTTCAGTAGACTGGTGGGCTTTGGGAGTACTGCTGTATGAGATGTTGGCAGGTCGTAGTCCTTTCGATCTTACTGGCGCAGCTGAAGACCCAGACAAGAACACCGAAGATTTTCTATTTCAAGTTATTCTGGAGAAGACCATACGTATACCACGCTCCTTGTCCGTTAAAGCTGCCTCTGTTCTTAAAGGATTTCTTTGCAAAGATCCTGCAGAAAGGCTGGGTTGTGGAAAGAGGCCTTCTGGTTTCCTCGATATTGTCGCTCATCCCTTCTTTAAAGCGATTGATTGGGAAATGGTAAGTATTATTCTTACAAAAGTTTATTAAAAAAATACGAATTTTCACACATTTATACTTTCTTTAACTTTGCAGCTAGAGCAAAAACAAGTTACACCTCCTTACAAGCCACGTTTGGATTCCGATCGCGATCTTGCAAATTTCCCGCCAGAATTTACAGATGAGGAAGTTCGTTTGACTCCGGATGATCCGTAAGTTATTATAAAACTTCTAAATTTATATAATTTAAAAAAATGAGAGTTTAAAAAGAATAAATAGAAACATTTTTATAAAAATTTATATGGTTAGTCTATCTCAATGCATTGTCTAGTAAATCTTGAACACATCTTTACATAAGAAAACTTGCAGGAAACAAATCGAGAAGATTGATCAGAGTGAATTCGACGGTTTTGAATATGTGAATCCTCTACTAATGTCATTGGAAGACTGCGTGTGACAAGAGCCACTTTTCATTGTGCAGCGTCACAATCAAGACCAGCAACAGTATCAACTGCAACAGTGCTACATGTACGAGTTGCAAGACAGACTCGCGAAACTTCGTATCGATCCCCTACTTCCCGTTGTCGGCTCAAGCAATCAAGGTTATCACAACAACGTATTTCTAATGACGTATTCGGAGGAGAATGAGAACGACAATAATTATAACGAGCATCGGCTACCGCCGCCCTTCCCCTTCCGATACGAAAGCCCGGCGTGCTCTCGTTCTCTAAGTATCACAGACGTAACTTACAGCCCAGGCAATAATAATGCGATTGTTAGCAATTACGACGAGAATGACTATGACGATATGGAGGATGAAAATCCGCGAAAAGGTCTCCTGAAACAGATATTTTGCCTTCCATTAAATTAAAGCTCAATTTGAGCTTCTTTTTTAAAGGTATAACGTTGCCTCCGATTCGATTACTCGATACGCATTTTGTAGAAATAGCTCGAGACCTATAGTATCGTCGGATGTAAATGTCTCGTGTAGTTCCATTAAAAAAAAATAACGAGAAATATTTAATTCAATCTAAAATATATAAATATATATCTATCGTTAAGTTAACTGTTCTCTTTCATACATGGTGCTGCGAGTAGACATGTTGATGGGTAACGTTACTTTCCGCAGCCTTTAGTTGAGAGCTAAAGGTGAAAACGTACCTGACTGCTTTGATCAATTTTTTTAGATACTTTTACAGTATCGTTTCTTTTGCGTAGCAGATTCATGTTTCCAAAGTATTATACAATTAATTATTTCTTTCTGTAATTACGTTTATTAAAGAAAAAAGAAGATCAGATACATTCCAATTATATGATCGTCATTCCGAACAATATTATGAATTATACATTAATTATACTGCGGCAGAATAATACCAAACGAAATGATAGCGTCTTCTCGTTTTGGTTGCATAGTTCTTACATGTACATTTTCGCTGAAACTCGCAAAAGATGATGCGGATAGTAATTATATCGAGACGTTGCTTTTATACGGACTATTCCTATTAACTCGATTAAGTCATTACACTGGTCACTTTATGGATTGAAGGACCGCATATTGTAGCTAACAGCTGTGAATTTCAAGCATTTCTTTTTTCTTATCGAGAAATTGTACTCGCTGTGAGGACAGAAGAATAATATGCAGTAACAATAATTTTCTATGGAAACGTGATTTTTTACTTGTAGGAACGTATTTCTGGAAATATTTTTTACTCCACAACAGCTAGTTGTATTTACACGTTTATCTATATCGATAGTGTACTTCTCGTCCAAATATGAGAGAATATACCAATTCCTATAGCGTGATTAGGGCAATTTTTATAGTTTTTCAAAGTAATGTTGAGCAAACGTACAACTGGGCAGTAAAGTAACTTTGAAGTACTGAAGACTAGTTTATTCTTCTTATTGTTAAAATTACATAGAGATCATTGTGCACAGTATTCCTTGTATATCTATAAATTCTAATGAAATAAGACGTGCAATGTCCGCTCTAACTTTATTCTAAACTAATCGCAAACAGATTCCAATGCGTATTATGACACAAGTATTAATTGTAGAAGTATAGCTGGGAGCCGTGTGGGACATTTTGCTAGATTAATGTAAGATCCGTAATAAAGTGTTAACGAGCATGAAAATTGGGCGATAAAACGTTTTACATTACGGTAGAATACGGCCATTGAATTATACGTAGACGAGAGTACATTGTATTAGAGTTACTACGCGTGGTTTTTGTTCCGGTGATTATAACGACGACTGCTATTAAAGAAAAAAACGGAAGTTTTCGCAAAATAATAGCTGCGGAGATCGATATGGAATTATCATAAATATGAAAAGTATTTAACGTAGTCACATGAAAAAGTATTAACAAGACGAAAAATATATACCAAATTTACATCACGTAAAAGAGAGATGTAATTAAATCTCATAGTTCTCTCCGGATTCTCTCGAAGCGTCGAATATGCATATGATAGAACGCGGATAATTTAATTTTGATTTAGTACTCGCATTAGAGCCATCTTGAAAACAATCGATATTACACGATATTATGCCTGGAATAAATGCAGCGACATTACTTAAAAAGTATCGTGTAACTTAGAGAGAATATAGTGCCAACACTCAACATCTTAATAATATATATCGAATGGTACGAGTTACGAGTATTACGCGTTGCAGAACTTACGTGATCTTTTTTTGTGTGTAACGAGCCACACTACTTCATCTTTGCGTTCATTATTTTTCCCATAAGAATGTATGGTATGCATAGAAAACTTTTTACATACATAAATTCCTATTGTAACATAGCGAATGAATTGAATACGTGTTATCCGTAAACTTAATTGTTGCAAAGGCTGCTATTATTTTATATAATACTACGGCGATCCGCTATTTTTTTATAGAGACGAGTCGGTGAATGCAGGAGAGATAACTATAAAAGTATTCTAAATAAGGAGATCTTTAACGGTATCGAACAGTGTGTTACAATATACGATATGGTAATATATATTCACATACCGTTGATTTTCAGCATTTATACTACAGTTAATTATTTAAGACAGACGCTTTATTAAGTATTGTTGAAATAAAATCTGTATATCTTCTCGCGTGAATATTGTCTTTCCATGGACGGAATACGGTATTTCGCGCAATAATTAATACTATTGAGCAAGAAAGGAATATAGAAAAATGATTAAAACTTGTAATGTTATATCACCAATGTAGTCAATTGATTGCGCGTCGTACCGAAGTCTGTTTACAAGTTTAATGTGGTGTAGAATTGCACAAATACAAAATATGAAATGGATTCCATATTTTGTATCGTATTTTGTATTCGTTTTAAAAGACCATACAGAGCGAGTCCAAAAGTTATGACAGTTCGAGACTTATATTGCTTAGACTTTATTCTAATCTTTAACTATAAATTTTTCACATATTTGTATGCTTTTGTTGTAGGAGTTTATGAAATGTTACATAGTTATTTATACTCGGATATCCGAGGATCTCGGATACTTAAATAAAGAAAGAGATACGTATTACATGAAAAGATATATGCGTATTATATATATATTTAATTTAATCGGATCTAATACATCGTTGAGGGAGAAATGATGCGGATTTTCTGCATGTCCGAGTCTCGGATATCCCAAATACGTTTCCGAAAGTATGAGAAGAAATTGTTAGATCCACGTGAGCAAATATTGTATGAAACATAAAATTTAGGAGAATAATATAAGAGTCAATCATCTTCATACTTTTTCATACGTGCGATCTTTTTATAGATCACGCGCGTGCATAAGGAAAGACAAAAAGAAATCAGACGAACGTTTAATGATTAAGAATTTATTATCGGTTAATGTCTTATTATCGATTAATATTTATTATAAATGATAGACTTCTTTTGATCTTTGCAAATATTTCTAGGAATTGAGATTCTTTACGTTTCCATTTTCTTTAATATTTGCCAATCTGTACTGGATTTGAATATACACATCGGGATTCTAAGATTATAATATTTCTCTACTTTTATATAATATATATATATATATATATGATTTTCAGATTTTTATTCTAATTTTTATCTGATTCAACCTTGTAATTTTTTTATTGTGCAGTATAACAAATATATCCTTATTGTTCTCTTGATTATTCTCTTAGAATGTCCCGCTATATGTGTACTTATATATATCCGTATGTTAACACGGATATATGAGACTTATAATTTTACGCCGATTTCGAACGGCCAGAAATATAGAGATTTTTCGGCAGAGTTACTCTAGGCGGTTTGCCAGACCTCCGTAGAGAGAGCCGTCGCTTGTAAATATTGTCAGCCGGGATCGGGATTCGAACTCGGGACCTCTGATTTACGAGCCTCGCACTAACCTTGCAGAACAACACGCTCTATTATATGTGTACTTAACGTATGTATATATAATATATTATGCATGTGTACATAGTGTCAAAAGATACAGGTACGCGTACTGATATATAATACAGAACAGAAGAGTTTAAGAGAAAATATATATGTCGAAGTTGTAGGTATTTGTAATATATTAAAATTGATAATGACATTATAGTACAATAATTTCGGACACGCATCACTTTTAATGCTCAGTTATCTATCGTATGATTATGTGAATTTATGATGAACGTAATCTATACGATCTGCCTTCTTTCTAATAAATCTTCCATACACATTTGTTATTTCGCTTTATATATTTTGCTCCGGATTAAGTCACGTATAATTACAATACACATGTTTTATGTTGCAGGTATAATATTACTTAATCGTACTTAATCATAGCGGACGTAATGTGTATATATACATATTTTATATATATATATATATATATATATATATACACTACTACACACACACACACATACACATCTTTATTTAGGTAAGAAAAAATTCTAACAATTCTAACGTATTGTTTCTGCTTGTAACTCGGCGATATTGAGATACTGTTTTTATTCAATGTTAAAAAAACGCAGTATAAGATAAATTATTATAATTAAAATTTACATATATATAATGTTTAGATAAAATTGACAAGTGGTTGCATTTAATTGTTATAGAGTACAAGATATCAAAAAGCAGAAGGGACGCTTATACTTTAGGATTTGTTACACGATCTAAATGAGAATATAAATTAACGAGATGCATTTTGAAATCGAGAGAGAAATCGCTGAGAAATCGAGGAGAAAGATCTTAAAAAGGATGGGCGACATTAATTAAGTGTATATCTCGTTTTGCAGGATTAACGAGAATCGATTGTACGCGTGCCTTCCCTCGTCCACGACGACAAAGTGTCGCGCGTATGTTATCGACATATTAACGATGGCCTCATAATCATTACTGAATAATTGCCGAATATAATTAAAATTGTATACGTTATTATACATATATATTGCCGTTGATAGTATTTTTATAAGGCTTGACTTGCGTTTTCTCCGGGAATTATATTGCTTCTCAAATGCCTGGTGTGCCGATGCATAACGGGCTACTTCCCCACGATTATAGCCATGATTACATCTCCGTGGACGCGCGAAAGATATGTGATTTTGTTCCTTTAAAATGTTACAAATAAAACAAATCCCTACGTGCAAAGGAATTAATCAGTTACCTCTCGACCACTACAAACGCGGCTTTTTTTCATTCGCTTTTCATACATGCACAAAGAAATATAATTTTCATTAGGAAAACTTCCTGCCAAGGTCCATTTTCCTCTTTTTTAATATATCTTTTGACTTTTGTTTTTTATATATTAATGGCTCACATTTTATTTTTTTAATTTACACATTTAAGAAAGATTTATTAAAAAAATTTAACGCAAAAAGAGTATTAAATCTAAAGAATTTTTCAAAACTTTGTTTCTACGTTTACATTTTTTTTTTATCAAGGATATATCAGTTTCGCGTGTGGTGGAAGAGGTGTACATTAGTTTAGTTATATTGTATCTACTGATATGTAACCTTGACGTTTGCAAGCTCTTCTATATATCGTGATATTATCTCGTTAAAATAAAAATGTCAAATTATAATTGTTGTAATACCTGAGACAACGCTCAGAGAAATTGTATTAACCGAGGCGGACAACGGTTATATCGATACATTTTATAGTTATAGTGGTGTTATTGAGATTTATGTATTATCAAATTTTATAGAAGCTGAATTGTAATCAAGGTGTTTTTATTGCGAAAGATCGATATCATTTTAAATGAAGCCTCAAGTGGCCAACACATGAGCTCAAGTATCGATTATGATTTAACACGCAAGTTTTCATTGGCATACAATCATGCAGGCATAACGATACGCGTGTATCGATACAGTGAAGTTTCATTTAATCATGCTTGTGATAAATGGAGTTTCGCTATGTTCACAGGCGATTCATAAATTTTCATACAAATCACGCGGGAAGCTTCCCGATCTATCCATCCGACCTATTCTAACATAAACTAATACATATCATGCGACATACAACTATGTACATTATTATATCTACGTTATACAGGGCCAGTTGTGCAAGCAATTTTAAAGAATTATTTATTCTCTATTCCAACCTAAATAAAAGATTCAATTAAAGAGCTAAATTAAAATATGTTTTTGTATTTCAGTTGAATTTATTTTCCAAGTTGTATTTAAATTTATTTGCATAAACCGTTAAAGAGATCTTAGTTATCCAAGATTATTGTTACGTTTTTGATCTTGAAACTCGCAAACTGGCTCATTCATACTCCCACATGAGTAATTTTAAGATGATATAATAAACGATTAAAATATAAGCTAGAATATAGGCTACATTAATAATTAATTATAATGTACATTGAAAAAAAATCAGGATCGCTTAAAGCATCAGCCGCGAGAAGCGAAATTTTTTTTTCAGTATCTACTTCTTCCAGAATAGACATGCCTACATTTCGATAGGATGATTTTCGAAGGTGGATAAGATATCTTTCCGGGCGATGCTCAAGTGCGATTAGAGAGGAGTATAAGTTTGTAATTATACCGGCGGCTGAATGCGATCGTGATGAATTGTAATCGCGAATGTAGTTTCTTACGCAGTGATCGCAGATTGATTACGATGGAGTTTGTATAAATGTATATAGAGTGATGGTACATTATAATTGAGAGAAGATATAAGCGAAAAATTATGTTAGTGATGCAGTGGATTTCGCGACAGCGCTACATCTGACGCGGTAGAAGCGAAGTTAAACGAGTACGAACTATATATGTAAACGCAACGTACTATATAATAATATTAATAATATAACAACAATAAATTAGACTGATTCATTATACACTTACACTGAAACTTTTTATAAAAAAAAGGCTATCTTCTTCTTCGTAGCCCAGAAAAGATATCGCTATTGATACTGGGCCAGCAGTTGCAGAATAGGCCGTGACACCATTTGCAGAGAAGACTTTCCCCAAATAAAATCGTAGTGGTTAAAAGTCGTGTTCATAATCTTGTAATGAAACACGATGCTGTTGAGTTTCGTAGACAAGAGTTCCACATCCTTAAGCGAAGATCACAGAAGAAGGAGAAATTGATTTTAATGAATTTTGATCGTATAAATTTTCGAGAGAAATATTAACACATTTAAAAAAATTAATTTCTACTGAACTTGATTGAATTAAATTATTGTAAAAGGAACATTTTTTTAGTTGTGCGTGACATACCTTTGTAGTCGCTAGCCAATCGGTATCGCTACTAAAAAGAGCGATTGGCGCTGTGATTTTTTCTAATTGATAATCTGGCGGTGTTGTTGAATTGTACATCTGAAAATTTTTCTTGATATTCCCGTAATCGTATTGTCTAAAACATCCTGAAACATTTTGAAATTTCTTCAGATTATTCAATATTATATAATGCAAAATACAATACTCGGCATATATAACTTTTTCTTCTCTCTGTACAATCGTAATGTTACCTGGATTAATGTAGCCTTGACCGTAATGCACGAGTTGTTTCCAGGAAGCACCAGCGGGTACGTGAGCTATGATAACAGTCAGGTTCTCCTATTGCAGGGAAATTCGATCAATAACACAAATAAAGGGAAGGAGACAGGACGAAAAATCGAAATCAATAAATGCGTGTCGTTTATTCTTACCGTATTTAATTCCGCACGACTAAATCCCGCAACTAGAAATAGAATATTGCTGCAAAGAAATTGCGTGGACGCCGTGCTCTGGCAGAATAAATTCGATACGAATTTTGCCCAATCGGATCGCGAACGAAATTCCGGATAGCCGAAAGTTTCGCCGACCCACTGCAAAAATAGAAGAAATTGCGAATTTGATCGATCTTGAGATAATTTAGGTACTTCGATGACGGCTCTCTTACCACACCAAAATACGTCAACTTGGCAAGTTTTTAACTGGACCGCGAATATTGCCACTGTAAGCCGCGGGTGCCAAGCCAATCATTAGAAGAATCTTCGAATTGTACTCGGGCTTTTCTGATGCCATTACCCAGAATTGCGTGGTACCTTCCGAATGACCGATATAGTAGAGCTTCTTGTGTTCTGTTGTGTTTAAAACATAATCAATCATCGCCGGAAGATCATAGATACCAAGTTCATGATAACTGAAACATAAATAAATTTTATTTATAAAATATTTGTTTTCCACTTTTAATATTATACTTTTATTAAAAAAATAAATATTTTTTGGAAAGTATTATTCAATTTTAATGTTTATATAAATTAAAAATTGTTAATTCGATCAAATATTTAACTTTTTATTTGAAATTTGAAATTTTTACAAGAAAAACTACACATCACGAGTATCATATGCAGTGCAGCAAGAGTTTTATATAATTAATATTTTTTATTATTTTATAAAATATGATTTTTATCGATAATGCTCTTCCTTTTATAATTTAACATATACCTAAAATCCCAGAAAGCTCGATTTGTTGGCGACAGTGAGGTATGATTTCTCGAATAAATGTTACCTCGATTATTTCCAAGCCATACATCGTAACCCGCGTCGGCTAATATATACGCTAAAAAAAATATCTCATTATGTTATTTCATCCACAAATGAACATTAAAATTACAATGATATGGTAATATTTTTAACAATTCTAGAAACATGACAAAGATGTACCTAAAGACTTTTCAGGACCCATAAGAACCCAATCGGCGGAACTACTTCCCAGACCATGAACCAAAAGTACCGGTGTTCTTCTTTTGGATTTTGCTTCCTTCTCATCGTCCCGACCGCGTGATATTCGATGCAATTGCAGAGTGTAACCATCCTTTGCAACGATATCGTGAATCTCCAAAGGATATCCGTATTTCCTCACCAATTCCGGCTATTCAATTCATAAAAGAAGTGAGTGTGTGTTAACTCAAAAATCACTTCTCGAAATATTATAAAGCATAAGTGAAGTTAACATAAATTCGTTCGTTTTTATTTCGCACGAGTTAAACGTCGAATGTAGAATAAATTTTAAAAATATAAAAAAAGTAAGATTCTAGAGGACTCTCCAGAAATACTTAAAAATCATCAATCGTTCAACAGCGCCTTCAGCGCCTTTCGTCAAGTACGCATCTGAATACCAAAATAAATATGGAAAGAGAGAATAATTACGCAAGCCGGTTTAACTGATATACAAGATTCCATTTATCGTTGCAATGTGCTTGGTCCGGTTATGTCATGATGATTATACTTCGAAAATCGTCAAGGAGAGGCACTCACCGTCGTGAGCTGGATGTCGGGATTGTCATCGGGTTTGCCGAACGCGTTTATCAGCGACAGGCAGCAGCTCAGGATGATCGTCGCGATGAAGATCCGACGTCGTTGGTCCGTCATCAACGGTGACATCGCGGTAGCGTACGCGTAACAAAAAAATGAAAAATCTCGCTCACATCGACATTTTATAGATGTCACAACGTGACGTGTAGAAGATGCACACCGTGCGATAACGTTGCGACGTCTGCACGCTCGCCCGCTTATTCGCTTGCATCCTCACATTCGTAGCCCTTGAGAAATGTGGCCATCACCTGGAGAATGGAAAGTGACTGATCGCGAATTGCATACCAAATAAATGTTATTCAGAGCTTTGTTAATCGTACCACATCGAGAGAAATTCCATCTTTCATCGAAAAGGGATTGTATAAGATCTTTGAGAAGACTCGCCATAAATTCATTTTCAAAAGATGCTAACATCTGTAAAAATAAACGTTAGATAAAAAAATATGGAGATTAAGCATTTAAATGATATTAAATATAACTTATATTAGCTAAATTATATTTAATATAAAATTAGATCTTTTTAAATTCGTGAAAGAAATTTACACAAAACGCACTTGATAAGATAATTCTTTTATGTTTTCCTTTCTTAATCCTTTATCAAAGTTGTGCAATCGGAGGAATTATTAAGTTGAGTCTGCAAAATATTAAACATTGATAAGATAATGCCTGATTAAGACATAAAATATGCAATGATAACTTAAAAATATAAAAATAGACACTATAAAAAATATATATACATATATATGTAAAATGTTTAATTATAATAATTGTTAATTTTCATGAATTCCTAAAATTTATGAAATATTGATAAACTAGAGTCCGGTTAGACATGAAAAACGATCTAAAAATGTCAGAATAATAGATATTATAATAATACATATATATATATATATATATAAAATATAAAGCATTTCAGATTTAAGAATAGTTTAATTATATAATATATGTTATAATATATATTTTATTCCGCGCAGCGCAAACTGGAATATTTACGTAAATTCATCGTTTTCTCCACGAAATTCGATAAGAGGTTAGGCAAGAGATGGGTCACGGGGCATTCCGGCGACTTCGAAAAATCGTCGAAATTATTAGGAGCACATGAACGGATAAGAAGTTAGCGGGAAGTCACTCGATTCAAAAGTCCCGCTCTCCCGGGAGGCAGCATCGAACTGAAATGAGCCGCGAATTCAGATTTCAGGAGCTGAGTTCGCGGTGTCAGGAGAGCACGAGAATCAAGAGGTAAAATAGCGGAAAATTTGAAATAGGATTTTAATTCACGTTTCTTACTGCACAATTGCCTTGAAAAGGGGGAAATTCGCGCAAAAATGATAATGATCGGTTCAAATCGATTTCAGTTCTCTATGAGAACTCCGATGAAAGTGGAAAAATTATTCTTAGATTAAAAGTCGAGTCGACAAAGTATATGATAGCCTGATAGAAAGCGATAAAATAATAACGAAGCATCGTAACAGCAATTCATACGCAAAAAACGTGATGGAGTTTGACGGGTAATGCTTAAGATCACAAAAGTCGAATCGATTAAGCGTGAATTATCTCATGCCGTTTATTTCACGTCGGCATGAGATTAAAAGCGGAGATAATTATGACGCCATTTCGTCCATTCGTCGCCGTGTTAACTGGAACATGATGTTATGCTTACATCGTTTCGGAAGGTACACTCGACTACAACCGCCCTAATTGTTCTTTATCTTCAGCAAAAAACTAGGCCATCGTGACGCGACGTTGATTTCGTCAACTCTCTAACCTTGCGGAAGAAATTGAATGGAAAGAGATTCCCCCATGCGATTTTCTTTCCCGTCGCATGCTTACGCTTTTGTCCCGATTAAGAAGAATTGCGAGAACCTGTCATGTCATATATCTCGCAAACTGTGGTACATAAATAAAAGTTGATCATATAGAATTATCAAATGACAATTTTATCGAATGTAAGGCAACATTTAATATTTAATCTTTATATTTTTTAACTCAAAACTTATTTTTATCATTTCAGTGCTTTAGAAGTTGAGTTAGAATTTGTAAAAAATTCCAGTTGTTTGTAAAATGTGAATAAGAAACTGGTAAGATTTATATGGCAGTCTACAGTCAGAAACAATCTTTCTTGAAAAGTTTTCAACCAAACTCTGATTAGTCTTAATTGGTAATTAATTTAATAGGCAGAATTACGTAAAACAAACTGTATAATTTTATTATCTCTGATCTCTAAATTCTTTCCATATTAAAGGACAAAGAGATTACTAATCTATATTATGCTATTCCATGTTATGAATAGCATAATAATAATATTGCTTGATGAGATTAATCGCTCATTAAGTTAATTGGAGTTAGTTAAAGACGTTTTTATCCTCTCTGAAAAAAATGATTGTCTTCTAGTTCCTCAGTTTCGTCACAAGAGGACCGTAGTTTCAACATAGAAGAACTTGACATATGAAACGTTGATCATTTAAAAATGGCGAGGTGCTCGGTATTGTTTTGTGTTATCAACGCGACGAGATTAAAGAACGTTAATAGGAATACACATCCATTATAAGCATCTTCGTCTCGCTACGTCATCGCTTTATTTAATAACATCATGATTTCTCCCATTATCATTTGTGTTATGTCGTTGGCTGTTATAAGTTTGGGAATTGTTATGGACTGGACTTGCATCCAGTGTTGTTGCCTCTATTTTATATTAACTTGTTCCTGTTTGCTTATCGGTCCATTAATTATGATATTGATCAATATAGCTCTGTCACCCAAGCATCAGACTGGCTGTGGTACTGTTAAAACCGTCGCAGAAGTGGATGCCTTCCATAATATGTTGATGGTATACATTCTTGTGGATAATGCAAAACTGAATGCATTGATATGACATTGTTATCATATTTCATTACTGATTATTGGTTTTTCAGAAAGGATATCAGCCTAAATCAGCCAGTGCTAGAAAGCACATGCGTTATCCTGTTGTTTTTACTCGTCTGGTGGATGGCGCTTTACAGAATCTCCTAGATTTGATCTTTCGGGATTTTGTTGGCTTTTGGCTGAATGATTTAGCTTTCGGGTCAGAACAATTAATAGATAATATGAAGCAGGATGTATGGGGTGCAATACAAAGCCTACACGATCGCTTGTCACGTGTTGATCATACCAAATTAGTAGTATGCAATATAGTGAATAAGCTCACCTTCCACTTCGAAAAAATCAGGATAGCTCAAGCAGCTTCGTAAGCTCCTCTTTTCATTGGTGTGTTTGAAGAGTAAGGCGAGAGGCAACTTGATTCATTTGTCATATTTAGGTCAGAGGGAGAAGACCCTGTATTTATTTTGTCGGCACATTTAATGTCACCTGTTGCTGAGTTGGAATATTTAAGGAAGATCAGCGAAGTCTATATCCTATTTTTGTTACCACGTAGTTATTCCCTTTCTCCAGTAAAATTCCTTTTAAGAGAGGTTCTCACATGCAAAAGTAAGTATTGCTATTTTATGAAGAGATCAAGATTAAACGACATTAAATCTATTATGTTATATCTATACCTTTTTTTGTAGTTTTAAAACCGGCAATAGATTTGATCACGGATCCCGATTATATCAATCAAAAGATCTTAGCATACATTGATCAACAACAACTTGCTGAAGCGATGCACAGAAAAACGTATGAATATGCAGAATCATTCGAGGATTTTATCCGCATGATCAAAAGTACAAAAGATTTAGAAGTTCTCAAACATATCAGATATAATATTGTTACTGAGATCATGCAAGCCACTACTGTGCAGAATGTAAAACGAGCTCAAGGTTTGGATCTCGAAAATAATGCGCTTGGAAATTCCGATGCCATTCGAGCAAGAAAATTGAAAAGATATATCAGCCAATTGACGTATGCTAAGAACACGTGTGAATGTCACATGCAGACGTTGGGATGGGACGGATATCCTCGTCAGGTTGTATCTTATTCGAATTATATTTATGCGACAATATCTTGTAATGACGATGTCTTTCAGGATACAGAGATTTGTGATGCCGCGGAGATTGCGGAAGGCAGGATAGTTCCGTTACAAGCGATTTTGGATAACGTAATTGGTCGACGATATCTGTCTCAATTTTTAGAACAAGTCGCTAGTCAAGGGTTAATCGGTTACTGGGCGGCGGTACAAGAATTACGTGCCGCAGAACGATCTAATTGGCATCAATTGGGAGCAGAAATTTTTTACACTTACATCAGATCATCCACTGCCGAAATTAAGGTGGATAAAAATATACGGAAACGAATGGAAGCTTTTTTGTTAGGTGATACAGGACCTAATGTATTTTACGAAGTCCAAGATAACGTCGTCAAGACGCTTCAGGAAAAGTATTATCCGTCGTTCCTCGTTAGCGAACCATATAAAAATTGCAGGAAGCATTGCTCAATGAAAGAGCGGAAGGTCAGTATATATATATATATATATATGTGTGCGTGCGTGCGTGCGTGCGTGCGTGTGTGTGTGTGTGTGTGTGTGTGTGTGTGGTATAAATAAAATTTATTTTTTATTTTAATATGGCTAAATTATTTAATAATGTTATAAATTATATATTTATATAATTTATAAATTCTTTTTGTTATGCATTAGGCTTGGTTGAAGATCGTGAGATCGTTGATGGTACACTATCGGAATCTTCGACTTTACTCGTTGGCGAACGATCAAATTACGCTCGTAGCAAATTAGATCAATTACATGAAAAATTAAACAACAAAATGCAAGCTTTACAGGCGCTCAAATCTTCCCTCAAACCCGAAAGCAAAGTACTCAGTATATTGGCGAAAGAGGTTGAATGGCTTCAAGGTGAAAAACGACAATTGGAGGCGCATTTAAATCATACGGAAATGTGGGCTGAACATTTGGGTCATTGGCGAGCCGACGTGCAAAGTGCAGAGGTAATTAAACATGCATTTTACGTATACCCGCAGAAAAATTCATGACTTTATTTATTGAACAGATGCCTGATAACGGAGACCCTCCACAATTTGTACTGGTTGTCCACATGGCAGAGGATGAAGACAATGACGAAAGCATATCCAGCGGATGGGTAGTATTGAGGAAATTGCAAGATTTTCAAGATATTCACAGGAAGTTACGTCAGTTATGTTCTAACGTTAAAAGTCTGGATTTACCTTCACAACCTCTCAAATTTTTCGGGAAATCCGACAAGAGCACTCTCGATAAAGCTAAAATGCAGATACAAAAATATTTGAACGTACGTCTCTCTTGTTTGCAATTCTAAATTATTGTATTAATATTATTTAGTTTATTTATTAATTCTTCCAGTTTGTTTTGGAGGACGAGAGGCTTAATCAAAGTGAAGCATTGTACGCTTTTCTCAGTCCAAGCTCGGAGCATCTTAAGGCTGTCGCACCATCTCCTAAAAAATCTCGCTTTTCTTTGTCTACATTATTCAAAACGTATGCGTCACTAATCTCATCACATGATCATTGATTTATTTGTTGATTCTATAAATCTCCATGACAGATCTGTTGGTAATAACGAGCCACGCGATAAAGAAGATGAAGAGGATTATTCCTTGTTATTGGACGATAGCGAGACAGGCCGTACCGTTACGGACAACTATTTAAATGCCAGCAAGGATGCGATCGCAGAACCATTGTATACGCTTCTCGGAGAAGTCTTTGACTTAAGAGGAGTATTTCGTTGGCTTAGACGTTCTCTTATTACTTTCGTACAAATTACTTACGGACGTACCATAAATAGGTGAAATACCGTAAATACTTCATTTATCTTTTATTAGTTTGCTAAATATTCTCTATTTTTTTACTTTAGTTTGTATAAACAGCTACTTTTATATTTCTCAATACTTCGTGATTTAATTAAAGCGATAGAGATATTTATCAAGAATATATGTTAATACTTATTAATTTGTAGACAAATCAGAGATACCGTTGCGTGGGTATTTTCCGAGCCAATGCTTCATTATTATATACAATTGTTTACGAAATCATGGTGGCCAAATGGTCAGCTCGTATCAGAGACTGTTCTTCGTACGGATGAAGAGAAATTGAAAACGCGAGGCGAAGCGCGCAGGCAATCTCTCAACAATGTACCTGAAGTATTGACAAATCTAGTGGGTGCGCAAAGTGCTCAACGTGGTGCGACTAAGGTTTTCGATTCTCTACAGAATGTGAATTTAAATAAACAACTTTTTATGTAAGTCTACTAACTATTTCCTCTTGTTGTCGGTATGTGTATAAAGATTTTTACACTGTTTTCACTGATGTCTGTTTTATAGGATATATTTGAAGTATTAATGTACGAAGTATTTCCAGAACTGCAGCACAAACAATGTTCCTTGACGAAATAAATTATCAATGTGATATACAATAATATACAGAGTACGCAACCCCGTTTTATTTTTTTTTGGCGAATCTTATATAATTTTCAGATGTGGTAAAATTATAGAGCCAAAGATAAATAGCGATCATAAGTATGTGGCCAACATTAAGAAATTATATCTACATACGTACGACCTAATACAATAAACTACACGCTTCTTTATTAACAACATTCCTAAATATATTATTTCTTTACAATCGAAATGTCTTTGACAAGAAACATAACGAGTGTATGTATCATAGTGTATATATCACACATCTCGCAAAATTAGTTCGAAAGTTATGTATCACATAATGCTTACGAAAAACAAGTAAGCAACTTAAAGCATTTTATAGTTACCGCAAATTGATACAAATAACATATTTACTATTTAGATGCGATGTTAATTTATTTGTTAAATGTAATATTCGTAGTAATAAAAACGAGATGAAAGCACAGTGTGGTGTATCATCAGTAGGATTATTATTATTTAATGTTATTAGGGTAAAAATGTTAACTCCATGTATCTATTTTGTCAATTTTAATCTTCATATAAGGATATAAAGTATAAACAATTGAGCTGGCGCACATAATTTGTAGTTTCAACAGCATTACGGTATATCTCATGTTTCTATAATACACGTTTAATATTTGCTAGTAATTTCTCGTAGCAGGATAATATCGTATGTAAACAATATAAAATACCTATATCTGCCGCTTTACAAAAAAGGATTACGTATTCCAGGAAAGTAAATACCTGTAAGTAGCTAATACTAAATATCTCGGCCGAATAAAAATATAAATAATATATTTGCATATGCATGTTATTTAAAATACGTGTGTATGTGTATATATATAATTTAAATAATATATCTATATGTATCATAGTCAAAGAATATATAACTTATGAGAGATGGATACAAAAGTAGAGCGATGGAAGTAAAGTAATGGACGTATATAAATCTTGATAAGGGCAATTATCTCTTTTTATAAGTATAATACTTTTATCATGCTAACATTTGGATTCCGAGCTTACGAATTATCGATTTTACGGTAACTATATCGATAAATATATAAATCCGGTAAATAGATGTGTGCTACTGACATTCTGATTAGAGAAACATGTAAGGGCGATACTGATAAACATAGGGTAAACAAGCGACAGAGATACGCATCCTTAGATACATAAACATATTGATACGGACTTACTAATTTTTTTAACAACATTAAAATAGCAATCATTATGATATCATAAAGAGTATTCGAACGCAACGAGAATCGCAGTTGATCGTGCGCGATTTCGTAGTCATATCGGAGGAAATATAAATGATCTATTCGCTTGTACTGTGCAATACTGCTAAATTCTTGGTAACGTGTTGACTAGATAGTTACAAGCAATTTCGAGGAATAGAAAGAGTATTCCACGGTTATATAGGAACGGACGAAATAGTAGTATATAGAAAACTTGATCTATACCCAGAGAAACGATCAGATAATCTCCTTCTATCTGCTACATAACTTTTTATAATGTACTTTCTTTAACAATACTTAAAGACCAATCTAAAAATGTTAAAATGCAGGAAACTGTAAATATGTTTATAAACGGTACTTAGTAATAAGTAATGAATATGTTTTGTCTTTATACAGGGTTGCGTCTGTGTTCATTCGAATCACAGTATGCCCCAATGGCAATAATCTGTTGACTAGGCGAACCTTGTTCTTTATCACTTTTATTGAAGCATAAAGGAGATTGTGACATCTAGTAATTCTGTTTGATATATTCTTTTTGATTTTTTTACAATTATTTTATCACTCCTTTCTTCCTTTAAGTTCAAATACTTTCGACAAATCATATATTTGCAGAGTTTAAATACTTTTAATTCTCTTATTCAATAAATAAATCACTTTCGGTTAAAATCTTATGTTCATAGATTGATTGTTTTCAAGAGTTCCTTATTCCATACACTTCAAAGCACATTTTGAAAAGATAAATGTTATATCTCGCAATCATCTAAAAGTACGTCGATAGCATACTTGTAATGAAGTACATTATTGCAGATCCGTGAAATTGCTATTAACTGAATTATTTGGAAATAATCTTAAACATACAGATGAGAAAAATTGTAACATTTCCAGCTCATTTCTCTGTAGAAATTGCATCGTTGATGTGTTGTCTGCTTGAGCAAATATATCCCAAAGTGCTGGATATGTCATATTATTGAATTTGATGAATTTATACAATAGAATCGGTAAATATATTTTTACGCATGCATAGCAAACACAATGCGGTTGAGGATACATTTTTATATACAGTAGCAATGCTAAATCAAAATACGTAGCATCTTCATCATATTTGTTTATCAGCCAGTTGTTATGCAATACTAATGTTAATTGAAATAAACGTTCTGTATTAATTTGATAGACTGCGGCAGCGCTAAATATATCATGTTTTTTAAGCATAATATCCCTTATTGCTGCCTCGTATTTAATTAATCCAATATAATCGTTTTTTCGGTCTGCATTACAACCTATGAAAAAAGAATAATAAAAGTATGATATTCAAAGATACGTGTCTCTTAAAATAAAGTTTTGTAAACATACTGTAGAAGTAACATAGCTAAAATTACACTAATCTAAGTACACCTAAATCTTTTCATAAAAATTATTGAAAGATTAGAAAATGTGATTAGGAAAAAATAATACTTACAAAAGTAATACCTCGACAATGATTCTTTTTATAAAATTAAACGACTGTGCAGGACACGTATTTGATTGAATTGTAAATAAATAACAATCGAAGCAATATCACGGAGTTGCCAAATTTAAGATTTCTGTTAGGAAAATAAATAAATTTCAAAATATATGTCCCTAGGCGGCACAGTCTCCTTTACGCATCTAGAAAAAAAGGAAATTCCTCCTTTTCCTTTTATTTGGCAGTGAATTCGGGCCAATAATTTATATAATAACGATGCGTTAAACCTTCGAATAATCTGTCGAGCCACATTGGTAATCCATCTAAAAGATTATCTTGATATAAAATGTTGCTTCCACCCTGCAACAAACATAAAAGAATACACAAAATTATCAATGTCAATGTAATAATTATAATTGCTAAAAATTAGGGAATTCTTCATCACATATCAGTGTATACCTCGTCTTGGGATAGATCGGATTCATTGGAACTGTCGAAACCGATGAAAGCTCCTGCCTCCGGATCTTCCGGTCTTTGCGCAAGTTGCTTGGTCATCTTTTCCATACGCTATAATATAATACAATTGTTTATTCTAAAGAATATACTTCAAAGATAACATATTTCAGTATCCAAATATGCACCTTAGAACCTTTACCCTTGATACATTCTGGATGTTTGGCATGATACATGCAGAAATACTTTCGATGTCCGTTTAAAGACAAAACCGTGCCGACGCAATTCTTGGCATTTATGTTTAATTCTTTCTGCTCGGGTAAAGTGAGAGATAATAATTTCTTATACCAATCAAGACCTCTTTCTAATGACATATGTGCGAACATAAGCGTTTTATTTTTTCTGAAAACAATTTACGCAGAGTTAAAGTATTAATCAAGATAAAAAATAATAAGAAATAAGGTAATGTACCTATAAGGCCACACAGCTTTATGAAAAGCTGGTAATAACTTTAATCGGCTTTGAGCATCAACCAGAAGAATGATGGTTCGGCATCCTGGTTTCAAAAGCCGAACTAATCCATTGTATTTCTCCGCACGTAATTCGTGCAATCGTAACTGCGGCTGCGATGGAAGCGATTTGGCATTGTCTTTGCATTGGACACGGTCAGCCTGGACACTTGCTTCTTCTAATTTACTAAATATAAAAAAATAAGATATAAATAAGATATATAAATTTATGTACAAACTTATACAATATTCAACAAATTGATACACAAGATGTTATTTCTTCGATGTATTAAGTTTAAAAAACATAATTAATATACATGCTTTAATAAATCAGTAATCGTAATTTATTTATGGTAGAATTATTTGTTGATCTATTAGCACCGAATCTTGAAGTGGATTAACTATTCGAAAGACAAATTATGTTATATTGCATTTTAATTCTACTCACACGAGGTATGACATTCCATATCCTGCAGCTCCTATTAGCATGAGAGTCACTAGTACTGATATCAAAGGTAAAATTTGCTCTTTCGTCAGATTATCAGATATATAATCTACTGCTAATAATGCCCTTCCTATCAATCTGTCTACAGTACCCTGAAAAAATGTATTGAATTATTAATATATGATGTACTAATAATTTGCAAGATTAGAAAGATTTTTTATTATCGGAATACATGCCTGTGCGTGTTCATCTGCCAATTCGCCTACGACAGCAGCGTATGGTAAAGCTTCAGTGGAACGTAACAGCCTTTGTATAGTTTTCTCTAAATGTCTACGCGTCTCATTCCAAATACGATCATCCTGAATGGCCTCGACCCATCCATGAGGAAGCCACTCATACTTCAAATGATTGGCATCTCGTCTCCATATAATGACGATATGTAATAAAGGTTCCAGTGGACTGCCTTCACCGGCTGACAGCGCTGATACAAATTCAGATTGTGTATCTTTGAATACATATGCGTATCTGACACGTTCCGTGCTGTAAATAAATAAAATATTTACAAAGTCCACGCACATAAAAAATAACACGTATTATATATTTCCATTATAAAAATTATTAATAAAACACATGTGATTATTAATATTTTATGATCACATAATGTATTAAAACAAGAATTTGTTTATTATGTATGGACACTACCTATAAGAAGATTCCAATGCCGCTTGTCTAAATTTGTGCCTAGCCACATCGTGTAGAGGACTATTTTGTTGTGATATTAAAACGGCGCATAGTCGCTTTTGTGGTCTCAGCCATTCAGGTGGGCATATAGAGTCCAACATAGCTTGATTTGAAAGTCTCGGTAATACGAGGAACTTATTATTAGAGATAATGTTATGCATGGTTTCGCTAGAAATGTCTTTCATACTAACAGACGCCATAGGCTTTTCTGAATTCTCATTGAAGAGCAATAAAGTATCTAGTTCTCCTGAGATCTTATATTTTGACGTTATGTTCTCGGTCTCCGGTATGCCGATCTATAAAAAAATGTTAAAAATTAGTATTAAGAATATTGTATATCTTAAACTTAACGTTAATATGAAACATTTACCTGGACGAAGCCGAAAGCTACTCGATCTCTATAGTAAAAAGACGTAAGCAAATATCGCAAGCGAATAAAGTCTTTCTTCTCGAATATCAAAGCGCGTATTCGATTATCCGTCCAGCCTGATAGGAAATTGTCTACGTTCGTATTACTAATAGTACTTATTAATTTATACGGTAGCCTACTTCGTACAAATTCTGCAAATAAACGTTTATTAGTTCTTGACTTTATAAAGTAAATCAACAAACAAGACCAAACGTAATACTTCAAATTGGCAGACATACCAACAACTTTCTGAATGCTAAACAGAGATTCTTTGTAGACACTGGTACGCCCGTCTACGATAACAACAAGACACGGAAGAGAATGAATGCCGAGTCTTCTCGCCAAAGTGGACTCCTTGTTGGCGTGCGCTGTAGCCAAGCCAAGTCCCAGAGGTTCTAATTCATCGATCAGTCGTCTCCAAGTTGGTTCCGCTTGTAGACACATCAAGCACCAATCGGAGTAAAATAATATTAAATATGGCATACGGTAAGTCTTAGGTACTATCACATTCTCGAATGATCTACAATTGTGAAATAATTAATATGATATCTACGATGGCAAGTCATTATTATGTTCGAGAAACACATACCGATATGTGATGCTCATTTTGTGGAACAGCGTGATGTCTCTGCTCTGATAATGGAATTTAAAATTACCGGTAAACAATTCTTCCATCGGATCAAGAACATTAAAATGACTATTATCTCTCCTTTGCCTAGGGATACCTTCCTCTGTAATTCCATGATTATCAAACTTTCTCCTTCTCTCTGGATCTGTTAAAAGCTGAACAATCCAATGATTCAATGACAGTTAATAATCTGCTTTCCTTTTCGTCTCATATAGAAGCATTATTTTATATAAGATATAACTTACTTCGTAAGCTTTTGTTATTTCTACAAATTTATCTTCGGCCATTGGATGATCAGTTTTATCTGGATGCCTAAGAAAAAATTGTATAACATACAAAGATTTAGAGAGATATGATATATAGCAAATTTCTATATTTCTCAGCAAGAAAGAACTTCGCTTACCATTCCTTGACGAGATGCTTATATGCCTTCCGGATATCCTGCATCGTCGCATGTCTCGACACGCCTAATATCTTATACGGATCACCCAAGGATTCACCCGCGATGGCCGATGGCATTAACTGGAGGATCGTGAGGAGACTCAACAGCAGGAGTACATGCCTCATTAATAGAACGACGCCGGTGATTCGCGCGACGTCGCCGTGCGTTTGTCGTTCGCTCGTCGTCGTTGTAATCATTGTCGCGCGAGTCATCGAAATATCGATCAATAACATTATCCGTGACGGGCAACGGTAAATTCCACGGAGATCTCCTCGTGTGCGCTGGTTCGTCACTTCGCCGATTGTCACGGGCACAGGTTCGACGTTACCTCCCCTTTTACTTCTGGCTGTCGCCACACTCGGAATCAGCGGACATACTTCTCGCACGGGTCGTCGTTCACCTCTTGTTTTCGTCGTCGTCGCCGCGCGAGACGTCGTTGTATCGTCAGCGAGGGCACCTCTCACATCAACACTCCCCGGACTACGGCCGCCACCATGTTGGAGTCGGAGTCGGAGCAGACGGACGGGACGAGCATATGGGCCAACGAGCTAACGAGCGGTGGCGAGACCTCACGGCCGATTCACACATAGCGTCTCGCAAGCGTCTCCATGTGACATCGAACTGCGTTCAGCAGAAAAAGCAATTTCGCAACAGTATGTAAGATTCTTCAATACGATTGGTTTATACATTTAGATCCATGAAGAACTAAGGGCAAAAACCAATCATATCGGGATTTTTACACAGTTGCAAAGCAACTACTGCTGGCAGCCATCCTCGAAGCGATGTGGCTATTGATTCGTGATTCCTCGACCGAGGAATTCTCTGGCCGCGGTGCCTTTCGTGGACTAATGTCCATCTCTGCAATTAACGTAGATTAACTTTAATTTTGTTTGTTCTGTATCTTTTTTCAATCTTTAAAACTAAAAGTAGATAAAGATTAATGAAATAGAAATGACATTAACCTCGCTCGCTTATCGAATCAATTTTCACTAATGGAGATTAACTTTTTCTTTTTTTTAATTTTAAGAATTAAAAATAAACAGAGATTAAAATTAATAGACATAAATAATTAATAGATATAATTAAATAGATATAATTAAAAACGGATAAATTCAATTGAGAATAAAATTAATAGATAGTGATAGAAATGGACATAAATTCTTTAAATTCACATTAAGAGAAGAAAAACAAAATACGAAAGATCAAAAGTTTTTTGCATTGATAGCTATTAAATTTTGCCGCATTATTCCATTTTTTGCTGATTGACTAATTTTATTTTTTTCATATTTTACTTTTCCTTTTTTGTTGTGAGTGTAACTGTACTCGACGTACTCGTGCAAGTTTTCTCAGCGCTTGTTTTTCCTGTTCGAATTCACATGTTGCATGACAATTCGGATGTTTGCGGCTTGGTTCCTGTTGTGCGTATTGTCTCGTTAAACAACTTAGTGTGATCTTAGTGCTATTTTATTCTGTGATCGTCACGATGTTACATGTTACATTTGTAAATTATGATAATAATGTTTTAATTGCGATTAAATCTAATTGACTTAACTTGATGATAACTCTACCGGCAGAATCCCTTACAACGGACTTTTTAGCCATGCAATTTGTTGTTTCTAACAATCTTTTTTATGTATTAATTAATAATTAATAATTATATTTCATTAATGAAATAGTTGATGAGTTTATCTCTAATTAAATAAATTGAAACTCAGTCAGAATCATCTAGTTTCATTTACATACAAGCAAGACAGAGTTATCAAACATTTCTATTACTCCTGTTTCTATGTTGGATTTTGTTTCAGATAGTTTCAGAATAGTGTCACAAGAATTACAAATATTCATGAAAGAAAAGAAGATAAAGGGAACCTGTTTAGGTAGTTGTACTTCTCATAATTGTCAAAGGTCAAACTTGACAAATATAAATTATGCATAAATGTCAAATGAACTATATTATGCATAACATCGTAATATGAACACCTGTGCCTTGGGCTCTATCCAAACTCAAATTCTAACCAGTAATTATAGATAAGGTACGAATTACGTAACACTTTAATATATATTGCGATAACAATATATAATTATTAATTATTGTATTAATAGAATATTATTAATTGCAAGAAAGAAACATAATGACATCAAAAACAATATGTATTGCTCAAGAAGGTCCAGCGAATGCTTTAGCTCTTAATAAAGATAACAGTCAGGTTGTGATAGCTGGCCGCAATGGTATGTCTGTACAATATTATGTTAATTATAGTGGGGTGTATACTATAAAATAATTAGGATACAATAATTAGGATGCATGGATTATTGCAATTGCAATTTTTAATTGAAATGGATTGAAACATTTTACAATGTTATAATTATCTAGTATAATATTGTAATTTTTTATTATGACATTTTTTTTAATAACGAAAAAAATTGATTTATGTTTTTTTAATATTGCGTGTATGAAAATTATATAATATTACAGTTTTCAAAATATTCACATTGCTGGAAGATAGATTTGAAGAAGCTTGTAATCTTCGTGTTGGCAAGAATTTGAACCTGAATTTTTCTTGCAATGATGTTGCCTGGAATCTTAATGATGGTAGTATAATACAACAATTATGATATATATATATATATATATATATATATTTAATATATCATTTATGTTATATCTTCTGTTAAAAAATTAGTGATATAAAAGATAGATACCAAAATTTTTTCTGACCTAACTTAAATTTTGTACACAATAGTTGTAGTCGTTTGTTTATTTATTCTTTTATTCTTTTAATTATTCTTTTTCTATCTCATGCTTATATATTAATGAACTATATTAATGTACTCTGATTATCATATTTATAGACCATATACTCGCGACTGCAGCAACGAATGGTGCAGTGGTATTATGGAATTTGAATAGACAATCTCGATCAAAACAGGATCATGTATTCGTGGATCATAAACGAACCGTGAATAAAGTAAGCTTTCATATGACAGAACCCATGTGGTTAATATCTGGTTCACAGGATGGTACTATGAAATGTTTTGATTTACGAATAAAAGAAGCCATCAAGACTTTTTATAGGTATATTTTTACGTAGTAGCATAATGATAGTCTACGTAGTTATTAAATATAACATCAAAATTCCCTTTTTGATCTCTTAAGATTTGTTGTATTCGATAGATAATTATTAAATGATTATATACATTTATCTTTTGTCTTAGTAATACAGAATCTGTTAGAGATGTTCAATTTTGTCCACAACAACCTCATACTTTCGCTGCTGTGTCTGAAAATGGCCATGTACAGCAATGGGATATGAGAAAATCAGATCGTTATTTTCAACATTTTACCGCACATAGTGGCCCGATATTTGCTTGTGATTGGCATCCAGAAGCTACTTGGCTCGCTACGGCATCTAGAGACAAAACTATTAAAGTACTTTGTTTTCTCTGAATATTAATTAATAACTTCATTGAAGTACTGAAGTATATATAATTATAAAACGAATATGTAGCGTATGGAATACATGATGACAATATTCATATTATTTTATAATTTTATAGGTTTGGGATTTATCATCTAAACCAAGTTGTGATTATACCATACATACTATAGCATCAGTGGGACGCATAAAATGGAGACCTCAGAAAAAATATCACATAGCCAGCTGTGCTCTAGTTGTTGATTGTAGCATAAATGTATGGGATATTCGTAGGCCGTATATTCCATTTGCGAGTTTCAATGAGCATAAAGATGTTCCCACTGGTGTGGCATGGAGAGGGAACCCACAATCATTTCTTTCAACAAGCAGAGTAATATTGCCATCTATTGGTCCTTTTTTATATTTACAATACGAAGCACGATTTTTATCTTTATGTTTTTTATTATATTTTAGGATTGTACTTTGTACCATCACGTTTTTGACGATGCAGTAAGACCAGCTAGTAAAGCAAATCCGCAGAGTGTTGCGATAAATCTAAAACATGACATTACATGCGCTTCTAAAGTGAAATATGAACCAGCAAGTATTACGAGACAATTAAGTAACATAATGAGGTAAGTATTTTGTTATATTGTGCCATATTAAAAATATTATGATTATGAAATAGAAAATAGAATAAACGAAATTATTATAAATCTTAAATGCTAATGCAAGCCATTAATATTAATAATCAACTTTTAATTTAAAAAACATGTTCTATATAAATGTTCTACAATCGATTTGATTTGTTTTTTTAGGAGGACACCTGTAACAAATGATGATGCTTTCTGTATGGCTTCAAGTGTAATGCACAGATTTCGCGGATGTATACGTCAACCGAGATGGTTTAAAATAGCTGCAGAAAATTATTTACTTTCCGGAAATTTTAGTGAAGCTTGCGATCATAATGCGCGTATTGCGTCTGATTTTGGCAATCATGTTGTAAGATATATTTTTACATATAAATAAGATTATTAAATACATTGTAATTGTACATATAATAATAATCTTATTTATATAGACTAGCAAAGCATGGCAAATCTTAAAAGTCATGTATACGGATCCGTTTGAGATACTTCAAAAAAGTGCACCCACGGCACCTAAAGAAGAGATAGTCAATACATCAAATATAATAATACAAGGAGGAACAAAAAATTCTGGAATGGAACAATCAAATGCGAGTAAGCAATCAAGTAAGTAAGCAAAAATATTGAACCATATATTCTATTATTGCCTCACTATTTATATTTGTGTAATTGCATACATTCTTTTATTTTTTTCAGGTCACGAACAGGATGCGAAATCTCTTCAGGGAGAAAATCCTACTGGCGCTGCCAGTGGCGGCGACGACGAGACTGAAACAGAAACCGAAGCGCCGGAGAATCAAAATATTTCGGGACCATCAACTAATACGGCTACTGTTCTGCCGAGGTATCATATATTTTCATTGTTATATATTGTTTATTAATAAAATATGATTAAAATCGTAATTATATACTGTATATTGTCTAATTACAGGAGACCATTGCTTAGTGATATTCCTTCGACATCACGAGGCGATTTTATTTTTGGAGAAACTGAGTATGAACCTATGTCTTTAGAACATCCCAATGAAAGTAGACAAACAGTAATGCGAATGGAGGATGATGAATGGACCAAGGAATTGCAAAAGGAGGCTTTTCCTTTGCGGCATGAGATTAAGGATCGATCGCCACCTCCAGAACAATTTCCCAATCATCCTCCTGATCTCGGCGAAAATCCAGCTTCTGTTATAGTTGAAGATCAACCTCAGTTAGTAGTGCCGGTACTACCTAAGCCATTGCCCTTTAATTTTACATCTCTAGTCTTGGAGGGGCTGCATTTTCATACAGTAATGAGAGATGTACAGACGACAGTGTCGATGCTTATAGTCCTGGGAGAAATAAGGAAAACGTTGAATATACCAATAGCTTTACAAGAACATTGGATCTTAGAATATTTAGATATGCTTGGTAAATTTAAGCTTTGGCATGTAGCTACACAGGTGCGTTTATAATTAAAGAATACATCGCGTAATCAATGATGTTTCTCACAATACTTTGCAAAAATGCAATATTGCAGAAATTTTATTTGATTATTACGTAATAAGATATGCATTTCTTTGTCGATGATTTTTATTCAGAAAATAGTAAATAGATTAGATAGAGTTAATGAATCAATTTAATGAAGAATCTTTTTGGCAGATAATACAATTAGCATGGATTCCTTCTATATCACAATTGAATCAACAATCAACTACAATACATGCATGTTGCGTAGCATGTACAAAATCGTTGCAACGATCTGCATGGTTGTGCGATCATTGTCATACTCCCGAACATGCTTTATGTTCTGTTTGTAATCAGGTGAGAGAAATCTAACAAACTTAACCCTTTAACTTCTTGGAATATTTTGTAATTGTTCAAAGTGAGATAAACTGGAAGAAACAGATTCTAAAAATTATAATTATTCATACATACTAATATTCCAAAAATTTGATTGATTTATGGTATGAATAATAAAAAGAAAATGTGTGGATATCGATTGCAATTAATGATTTATTATGATAAAACAATTTTAGTGTAAAAAAATAATAAGATTGTAATATACAATTATGTTTAATTTTATTATTTCTCTACAGGTTGTACGTGGTATTTACGTATGGTGTCAAGGCTGTGCACATGGAGGCCATATAAACCATATGAGAGAATGGTTTAATAATAATCGACAATGTCCTACTGGTTGTGGACATCTTTGCGAATATAATTGACAAGATACACTGACTTTGGCAATGAAATGGATATTTTTAAATAAAATGTAATATAAGAATATTATAACACAAATGCAATGTAAGGAATTCTGCACAAACTAATTTTTATATATACAGGATATCTGATTCATAATGTACATCGCTTATGTGCAGGTAGAGCGAATGAAACTGAGCAGAAAAGTCCTGTATCATTTTACGATTTTCGCAGTGACTTATTAATTATTAAAAATCATCGAGTGAGCGCGTATCCGCCCGGCCCGCCGACAAATTCCAAACATAGCGAAATGTTTGGAGATGTGCATTATAAGAAGATGTTCTATCATTTGTAGACTTCACGTCTAAAGATCTTCGCGATTCTAGTATAAATGCGCATAATGTTAGGCGGTTATATCTCGCTGTATGTTTGGCATTTGTCATCTTGTATATATATAAAAAAAATATATGTATGTTAAATAAAAATTTGTTTGACAAAAAAATGATAAAGATAATAAATAAGAGATTAAACCTATGCGTTAAATTGCGAAAAATATCATCTTAGCTAAATATTTCTTGAATTAATTTAATATGTTAATTAATAGTTCAATTTAATTTATTTATTTAATATAAATTTAAAAATTGAATACGACCTCCTTTGCCTTCTTTCGCTATAGAGCACTTAAAAACATATCTAAAATTTAGTCCTGAAATTAATTGGACCGAAACTTTTGAAAAAGAAAGCTTTCATGATTGTTATATGGTAGAATTAAATAATTATTTTTTAAATTAATTGTTTGTGTACGCGTACATTTTATATATATGTATATATAAGAACTAAAATTAATAATTATTAGTGATTTTTAACATTATTTATGTTACTGTATTTAATATTTTCATTTATGTATTAAATATTAAATAAATATTAAGTATAAACTTTTTATTTCATTTTATATGTCAGATTAGATTAACGATAAAAACTTTCATTTAACTGGGAGAAAATTCTCATGTTATTTTTGCAAATTGAATAGGAAAATTGATATGTGCAAAGACATATAAAGTTTATATTGATTTTAAAATTATATATTTTAAAATTAATTTATTAAAATACAATTATATATCTGTTATAAAATATACACAATTGGATAAGGTAGGAAGGATAGACGCACAGTGGTAAGTTTTCGTTTACGCAATAATTACCAGAATGGCATAAAAATCGTTCGAGAATTGCGTCACTAAATAGTTGAAACGATAATTATCCACGATAATTATGAAATAATAATCTTTGGAATGATTAAACTCTTGTGCAACTAACAAATTACGCTAAGGTGTGTAGTCTAAGAAAAAAGAACGGACAATAAAAATTATTTTGTCATACAGAAAATTGCACGCGAGACATCCCGGTTCTAAATTTAAATACACATTATTATGCCAAAATCAAAAAATATAAAAGTATAAAAGCGAACTACTACGTCTCATAATATCAGTCTTTTAATATTTATACACAATTAAAGATATAACATTATATATAAATCACTTTCTTTCTAAATTATCTTTGTCTTCTTTTCTCTCATTCTCAGTAGTGAAACAAGACATTAGAAATACGTGTCTATCGTCGAAATATGCGCCTCTCCATTTTCCGAAAAATCATGAAAGTTATGAGGATAACATGATGAGGTAGGAGGTTACAAGAAGTGATACAATTTAAATTTGGCGCCCTGCAGATAATAAAGTAAATTATATTACCGGCGGCAATCGGTAAAATAGATAGCAAATTTGTGCTGTTCGAAATTATCGACATAGCTTGTGCCACCCCTTATAACCTCCTATCTTATTATGTTATCCTAATAACTTTTACGATTTTTCGAAGGTATCGAGAGACACGTGTCCCAACTCTCTCGGTATCTTCTTGTCTAAATAATCTTGTAGAAAGAAAAGGAAAGAAAACGAAAAAAAAATATATATATATATATA